AAATCTCTCCTCCAGCAGCTCTTCACAAGAAATATGGCCCACAGCACTGTGATAAATCTTACCAAGGAACAAATGCACACTTCCAGCCTCAAAACATTCTGGATAAATTGCTTGTTAGTGAAAGTGCAGTGAAGAGCCCTGGGAAAATAATTTAATGTATATCAGAGGACAGAGCTGCTGATCAACTCAAAGTGAAGAGAGAAGGTGCAAAACTCCCTATTTGTCCTGTCCTTACCTCAAACTCAGGACTAATTTTTCAGACACTGCCAAGATCTGGAATTCAGCCCAGCATGCTGCCAGCTACACCCCGAAAACTTATCAGCAAAAACAGAGCAAAACATCTTACCAGCTTCTTTCTGGGACCAGACTCCATGTAGTAGGCATATGGATATGTGTACTGCAGGGTGTAACGACACTGCCCGGGAGTGAGCGGGAGAGAGAGAAAAAGAGGACAGAAGTCTCAGACTCGAAAGTCAGCACGGTCACATGTGTGTATAACTACAAGCTAAGAGAAGCTATCTCCTGACAAGGATGACTGGACACTTCATGGTAGAATTTCCTACAGCTTCCTTGAAAGAACTTGTGCAGTTCTGTATAACTTCAGAGGTCACTTCCAGATGACTTTTGGCTAGTTCATGTCTTGACAGACCAGAGGTACTGTCCCACACACCCGCAACCCTTACATTTTCTTTGTTATTTGATGTTATGACTTCAGTATTCTGGCATGATTCTCTTCTCCATGCCAAACAAGACACAATTACCCACCTTTGCAAGTAGTTTTGCAGCATTTTGTAGGTATTGCCAGTCTATCCATGTTCCTAAGTTGTTCATAACTCTTTCTTGTATTTTCTCCTGGATTCGTTGGTACGTCTGTGCCTCCAGCTGTAGGCTTTTATTGTGATTCTCCCACTGCAAGGGGTGGGGAGACAGGGAAAGAAAAAAAGGCATGAGACCAGAGTACTGCTGCTGTAAAAGCACAAGCTCTAGCAAGCAGAAATTGGAGTGGGGCAGGAGTCCAGCAAGGCAAGACATGCTGTGGGAAAGAACAGCAAGGCAGCACCTCCAGGAGCAAGTGGTGGAGGCTGTGTACAACAGACTGACAGCAGCAAAGAGCAGGGAGCAATCCCAGCTCCTCTGAGTGGGAATGCCCTCTGGGCACACAGCGACCTTGTGTCTAACAAGATGGAAAGTCATGATGATTCCCCTGCTTAAAGGATTTCTATAGGAAGGTCAAGAGTTTAAATTAACATTTAACAGGGGCTCAGTGAACTCCAACATCCATGTGCACATTGTAAACATGGCTATTTCCCAAAGCCTGTTGGTCTGGAGAGCCAGGAATGAACACATTTATTTTACCACAGGACTTGGCTCATGCTGTGAAGAATAAACTCATTTCAACAGGGAAACTGAAATGCAGCAGCATTTAACCTCTACCACATTCTCTTCTAGAGATGCTGCTGTAGAGTTGCACTGTATGGCCAGGTGCATGGAGCCTGCTATGTGGACAGAGATGCTCTGACTGCAAAATGATTACATAAAATTTTAGTAACAATTTGCTCCAGCCAATGGGGCTTTGAATATGGCAGAGCTTATTTAGCCTTTGTCTCCATAAAGACATACTGCAAGGAACTGATCCTGGAAGGAAATGATTGGAGCAATATCTATCTACTGCAGCAGCACTCAGCCTGCAGATAAAGGGTAGAGTGGGAAACAGGTGATACTGATTTTCTCTAGCACAATGGAATATAGGAGTGAATATGATTTGCTTTGGGTACAAAATTACTGGTTTGGATGGGACTTGCAGGGCAGGATTTTAAGTGAAAAACAACAGGGCCTGAAAATTCTGCACAGATTCTTTTTGGGCAGTTTCTTGCACGGAGATTGCTGGCAATGACCTTTGCACCAGGCAGGGAGCATTAAAAGGCTACAGCAGCTCTGGCCAAGGAGATGTCTCCTACCCTCTCAAAATAGAACAAGTACTTCTTAAGGGCCTCCCTGGCCTGTGCTTGCTGACTCTGGTTTACAATATCAGGATTCTCTTTGTACCGACTGCATTCGTAGTACTCGCTGCCGTGAGTCTTCCAGTCTCCCAGACACATCCAGCAGAAGTCTGCAGAAAACAGCAAAAACCCACTGTGATGCACAGAAGAAAAACTCTGAGAACAAAAAGCTCATGAGACACAGCCCATCTGTTTTCAGATATTTCTGCTAAGCCAAGAAACATACACATTTTGTACCATCTTGCATAAGAGAACTCAATAGTGAGCCAAAAATACCAGCCTGTCTTGAAGATTTCCATTGTACAGCTTCCCATGCAAGTGTGGAAAGTAAATCCTGAAGTTCTACATCCTGCTCACCAACACCACTGTGTAGAACTGCACTTGTGCACCTGTGCAGAACTACACAGGCTGCCACTCTAGACTAAAGAAGAATCTGCAGTCTTTTTTGTGAGTTGCATCCTCCCCACCACGGGCACAATGCCCCATGAAAACTCCTGGCTGAATAAAGCATGAACAATCAGATCCAGAAATCAGCTAACTCATGCAAACATAGTTCTCTCCAGGAGGGAACTATCCAGGTAACAACAGATGTCAGTGGTTTATGACACATAAAGTTAGGAGCTGCTGAACTGGGGAGAAAATGGAGGAAAGAGCAACAGCAAAACCCACGTGACAATTTTCTGATTTCAGAGCAAGGTTGTGAGTGTTCTACTGAGAAGGAAAAAAGATGGAGATTAGGTTTCTTACAACAGGAATCACTTCTGTGTTACTCATGATAAAGAGACAGAAATCTGTATTTTCAGAGTTCACCAGCCTTCTCGAGTGCTAATCACCATGGTACCTTGGCACTTGCCTGCTCACCCTTGTCAGAGAGCTCCATCAAAGCACGTCCAGTGCTGCTGAGAACCCCAAAGCAAAGGAAATGAGAGAGGACAGTAATCTTTAATCATCTTCCCAATAAGGTTCTGATATTATAAGTTTGTAATGGCACACTTAACTCAGCTGAATACAACAATCTTGCTCCAAGGCAACAGAAAGAAAAGTGCAAGAACAGGGCCAAAGATACTCAGGCTGCTAATTGCACAGGAGTGGACTGAGAAGTCCAACAGCTACTGTTACATACAACAGTTCACAGCTCCTGCAGTTTCATCTGGGTTGAAGGTCACTATTTCCATCACTAAGCAGGACGACTTAAACTGATCTGAGTGTCTCAGTTCTGACAGTATTTTCAGTGGATGACAAATACAATTACATGGAAAGCATTTAATTCTCTCCTCTGAGATGGATTCCACTGTTAATATTCCGGGCACTTCTCTATACAATGGACATGTCAGGGGGCAGGAGCCAAACCAGCACTGAATCAGAACCCACACAGATGACAGCCAGTGGGGGGAAAAAAGCTATCACACATAGGTATGTAATTAATATCCTGTTCACTTTTTACTAGGGGGAAAATATTTCAGTCAATGTTAACAATTTGTCTTCACATCACAAAAAAAAAAAAAAAAAAGAGAAGAGACCATCACTCCTGAGAAACACTGCAGAGAAAACTGGTTCCAAATCCAACTTACCATGTTTGCATTTGGAGCATTGCTGGAAGAGAAGAAACAAGAGCACTGGTTAGTGGAAAGCAGGGGAAAAAGAATTCTGCTTGGAACAAGGGAGGTTTGACGTGTTGAGGGAATTGCTCACCATGTGATTGCAGCCTCCATTCTTTTCAATACAGATATTGCACTTGGGACACTGGGGGAACAGAAGCAATTGTTAGATCCAACTCTAGCAGCTTTCTGGAGAATGACAGCACTTGTATGATTATTCCTCTCTGCTTTTTTTAAAAATATGCATACACATATATGAGAACATGAACATTTATACCCAGCCTCCCACCAGTTCCTGACAGCTCCATTTAAAAGAAGGCAGAAAGGCAAAGCCAAGGAAGTTACACTGTAGCACTTGACTGTTCGCTCAAGAAAACAAATTTGCTGTTGCTACTCCTTGTAAAACTGAAAGTCTAGCTGAGTTACCACTTAGCAGTTACTCAGGCACAGGGACATAAGTAGTTCAGGTGTGACAGTAGCTTCCACATAGACTACAGATAATCATCACTATATCCTGCCCTCAGCAGCCACTAACAGATGACAACTCAGCTAGCTGCAGAGACTCTGGCTGACCACAGTGAGAGCTGCACACATTCTCATTCCACAGATGCCCTGAAGTGTTCAGTTACACTTTTTGGGTTGCACAGGTACAAAGCAGAAAGTGAGTTTTTCTGCTTTTTATAAACTTTCATGTCAGGCAAAACATGTGCCAGGACAATGCTCAATATAACAGAATCCTATTTCTACAAACCAGCATAGCAGAAACAATGCCATCCCATGCTGACACCTTCTGCAGAGACGGAAGGGAACTTGAAATATCTGGTCTACCTTTTGTAACACAACTGAAGCTTGTGGCTAATTGGCACTGTCACAATTGTCACTGGCCATGGTAGATTAATGCCAGCTAAGAACTGTTACAAAGTCAGGCCATGAAATGACCAGAAGACATGAAAAGTTCCAATCTCAGACAGCTAATCTAGAGGATAAAGGCATCTATAACTTTTAAAGACAATTCTATAGGTAGGCTAGAGTGTATAATATGTAATACTATTTCTTTGTCTTGGGTCTAAATCTATTAGAAGTACCCCCCATGTCTAATTTACAGGCTTCATCTACCCCATTTTGTTGTCTTTGCAAAATCAAGACTCCTCAAAATCAAATCTCCCACACTTTCCAGGTCTCCACACAGTTGTTCACGTTTAAACACCACCAGTGCCTTATTTGGTTCTGATTTTGTGCTTACTATAGCCTCTCCTTCCATTTTAAATACATCTCCACTGATCATTTCAAAGTAGCCACAATTCTGCTGCCTGTGGGAGAGCAGCACACCTGGCTGCGAAACACATTCACACCAGGCCTGGAATAAGGAGGACCACCAGGTCCTTACCACAGGAGGGCAGCTGGGCTTCCCACACAAAGTGTTCCCAAGGCATTCAGTTGTGTTATATCACAGGCATAGGGAGGGACATAATTAGTTCACATATGACAGTAGCTTCTGACAGAAGCTTCTTGACAGTCCCTAGGGAGCTGTGAGAATTTTCAGTCTGTGAAAATGCAGAACACAATGCTACATGTGCACAGAATTGTATCCTGCTTCCCAGACAGGGCTAGAGGATGAGAAATAACACGCAGGTGCTTGTCCTTACATCTTTAGTGTGAGCACTGATGTAGTTGGCTGTTTCAGAGTCATCTGCACACTTGGTGAGCCATTTCCGAATGGTAGCGCAGTCCGTGGGCGCGTGGTACATCTGCCGACACTTAAAGCTTAATGGGGGAGAAAAAAAAAAAAGGCATATTGATTTCCAAGGAAGTGACTCAAGGATTGAGGTTTTCCTGACAACCAAAATCTGGGAGGCCCAGCAAGGGTAAGGGATGCAAATGCTCTTGTATTCCTAGAGTGCAAAGACCAAGGCTGAACTCCCAATTCCCCCATCCTCTCGCGCAGAAGTTGGAGTCAGGGTGAAAGCAAACCAAGGCCTTCTCTGACAAATATGTGTCTGAGGGTTGACATGTCCCTCCCTAAAGTCCACCTATATCTCCTCTAACATTAGAGCAGAGACCTGGCTGTGACTTTACAAGTAGCCTGGCTCCAGCAGTAGATATCAGGCACCTGCATTAGCATGACCTGACACCCCAGGTAAGGACCATTTGCATGGATACCAGTAAACTGGGTCTCTAGACCAGTGGCATTGTGCTCCACAGACATTCTCAACAGCAGTGATTCTGGAGACCCAGGAGCAGAAGACACTTCAGCAGCCCTGAAAACTATCTTTTTTTCCTCTGGTCCCATATCCATATGAAGTCAGATGAGGAACATTAGCATTTCTGTTCAGCAGAAATGTATTCTCACACAAGTCTCAAAGCACACCAGCACTCTGGGAGTCAAATACTTGTAATAAACTTAAAAACTCAATACCAGCAGATAGTGGTGAGGCCTCCATGTTCATTACCAGAATCTCTACCAGTCACTACTGGAAAATTTGTAACTTAGCCAAAATATGAGAATGGTGGATTTGTAACTCCTCCATCACTCAAGACATGCATTCCCTGGTTGTCAGAACACCTAACTTCCAAGGAGTTTAGGGAGCGAGGGGACAGCTGACCACCTGCAGAAGTCAGACCCCAAGTGTCTAATTACTCAAGCTAACTCAAGTTACAAACAGCTCTAGCAAAGCATTTAAGATGCTTCTACACACTGAAACTGTTGGCAAGCAAAAGGAGTAGCTCTGAGGACAGCACACACTCTCCCCGTGACCCATAACCTTCTCTGTTTCTTACCAGAAAACCTCATTGCAACGATTGCACTGCACCCGCCGGGCTTTGGGCTCCTGTACCTGTATAACCATAGGGCAATCTGCACCAGGACACAGCTGCAGCTGATAATGGCTCTGTGGACATACCAAGGGGGTAAGATCAGCAGTGGGTGCAGAAGAGCATTATCCATTCTACTTTAACCACTCCTATCCTCAAAAGCACAGGAGTTCTTTCTTGTTGAAAAAGACTGACAATTGTCACCAGGTCTTGGCTAACAGAGCAGATAAACCTCTTCCACATTAGGAATGGGAAGATTAGTTACAGCTTCTCTAGAACAGGGAATTCAAATGGAGAGTTACAGACTAAGTCAGCACAGCAACACAAGACCCCACAAAGACACTGAACAAACAATTTTACTCCATTTGAGGTCTTTTCCCATCCTTCTTTATGTCCCAGAGGGTATACAGCTGTTCTCTTGTGGTGACTGTTTCTTCCCAAAGGATTTCTTACTAAAGAGTCAGCATCACTGTTTCATACTGCTCCACTGCTTCTTGAGTGTTCCCAGTCTGTTCCCAGTTAAGGCTAAATGTTGCTCATTTAACCATGACAGCTGCTGCTTTAATTTTAAAAAAAATCTCACACAAAATGTAATTGAGCAAACCAATTCAGTTGGGCTACACCAAGATGAGGGACCTATTTTTCAGAACCTAAAATATTTATCTAAGAACAAGAAGGACTTGAAAAATCAGACTGAAGTTTTGAAATTCTCAGCTGCAACACTCCAAGAATTCTGAAGCACCAGCCAAGTTGTTGCTGGGTGACCTTACAGCAGAATTTACTTTGGCAACCTGTTAGAGCATTTTGTCAGTGAGGCTGTCCTACAGGAGAAGTCATATCATGGCTATTGAGGGCAATTTTGCTGCAGTTACTGCACTTCTAATCAAAGATGCAAGACACTTCAAACAAAATTTCTGCAAGTCATTGGTGACCTGGCCCATGGTATTTTAAAACTGGAAAAAAACAGCTACCTCCACATAGTCCCTGAAGAGGTAGCGCCTGTATTTGTCTTTCAGCTCTTCACTAGGCAGCAATGGGAACACAAAGTCTTCTGGTGTCCGGAGTAGGCAGTCCTGAGCCATGCAGGAGACCCCTGAGAAGAGAAAGCAACATTTTAGCACAGTGCAGCTTATACTAAGGAGTGAATGCACAGAGAGTATTCAACACAGTTTCCTAGGTACCATCTGTTGTTGTGGCACGAGGGACACAACTGTGAAACAAATCAGGGCTGCTGAAAAGCTGAAGCCCAACTGTCTTCACTGAAAGATAAAATGGTGCATGTGCACCCAGGACCAGCAAGTGCCTCAATCAGTATTCACAAGGTCAGATACTTAAATTAGAAAATTGCATGTTACTGCCATGCCAGCATGAAAGACAGGCTAGGAAAAGCCCAAAGCAACTCTGGCAACTACTGGCTTCTACTCAACACAAAGGGAACAGATGTTTGCATCTACAAGCACTCCAGGGGCATTGCAACAGTACATCATAACAGATGCAAACTCAAGGTGCAGCAGATTTGCAGTTTCTAACTTGTTACAGTCATGCTCTTGACTCATCAGAACATCCATTGTGGCAAACACAGACCCAGCACCATATCCACCTTGAACTCACCGACTCCAACACCATCCTTGACGAGCACTGTACAGTGCTGCTCCCAGCAGCTGCGACAGAACTGGTGCTGACAAGCCAGGGAGAGCAAGTTCTCCTTCCGGACAAACTGCATGCACACCGCGCAGTGGTGGGAGGAATGTACCATTGCCTGGGAGAGAGACAAATCAGCATTACAGTGAAAGCATCTCAGCTCTCCCAGAGTATTTTCACCTCATCCACAGCCATCTGCATCACCTTCACTGTGACAATGGTCTCAGGGGGAGCTCCAGGCTGGTACAGGCTAATAAGGTGTGCTGAGGTGCTGCACAGCCCCAACACTCAGTCGTTCTGAAGAACCTCTTTAATTTCACAGAGCACAACAGGCTGACAGCCACTGAGCAGTTTCTGCCTCTCATCTAGTGGTACCCAGAACTCACCTTTACTTTTCTAGTTCTTTCCCTCACCTTGTTTGAAAAACAAGGAAATACATCATTGTGTTACTGCTTCCCTGAATTTACTGATATTCTTTGTTAGCTGGGCCAGACTATCACTATTCCAGAGGCTCTGGAGAGCAGCCATAGCTGGAAGCAGGCTTAGCAATGCCCATTTATTGGACAATAATTTTGGGTAACAGGAGAGGCAATTGAAGGTGCAGTGTGTGTAGAGTGTTTATACAGAGAGGGAAGGGAATTCACAGACTATCACCTCACATCTCTTATCTTCTGCTTATGCTACATTTGGCAAAGCAAGAATCATCCCTTCAACTGAAAAGGATTAAGAAGGTTTGTTTCAAATCAGGTATAACTCTGCTATTGCTTCACCAAACCACTGAGAAGCAGTCTGGGTCTCCCCCTGTGTAGTGCAAAGCTAATCCCCAGACAACAGATCCAGCCTTCAACACATCTCTGCTCACCCTTGGGACCCGCAGAACTAGGTCTAGCACAGCATCATCAAAAACAAACATGTTAACAGGAGTTTATGCTCCAATTTCTCCTTTACACAGAGAAGTCATGAATCACTGTTCATCTACTGAAGCCTTTGCCCCTTGTTTTGAAGCTGGTGTGAGACTGCTGCTGGTTTCCATGCTGAGCTCTGCATGCTAGCGACACAGAGAAGCAGCAGCACTATAAGCTGCCACATCACTGACACAACTTGATTTACGGCATGGCCACATGAAAAAGGAAATAATGTGACTTTGTTCTAAGCAGTCTCACTTAGGGACCAGAACATGAGTTCTGAGTCTGCAGCTGCACTGATTGCCTACATCAGCTGCTCAACCTGAACAGCACATGCGCTGCTCAAACCCTCGTGGGCTGCATCTCTGAGCTCACTTCTGACTGCAGCTTCTCCCTAGGGGTCAGCTCCTCTGCAGATACTCACTATGAGCATCTGTCCCCAGAAATATCATCATTCTGCATCAGAAGCCGAAGCACAGAGCAGCTTGCCCTGGCACACACAGACTGTAATGAATTGCCTACCAAACCAAGTTTGTCAAGACTCAAATTAACCTTTTAACCGTAATATCCTTCTTCCCACAATGAAACCACCATTGCAGGGGGGAGTACTTGTGACAGCTGTTACAAGATTCACACACCTGGCAGTGTTCAAGGCCAGGCTGGATGAGGCCTTGAGCAACTTGGTCTAGCAGGGAGGTGTCTCTGCCCATGGCAAGGGGCTGGGACTAGATGATCTATAAGGTCCATTCCAACCCCTAAAATTCTATGATTCAGACAAATCTTAAAGTACATGGATTAATTGACAGGTATGTCAAACAACAAGGATTTTTTTTCTGGAGTCTAGGCAGATAACTTACTTTGAGTCCATGAAGCTTACATTCCTTGTCAGCTACTTTAGCATTTTCACTATCTGCTAGTTACACAAGACAGCTCAGTAGCCAAATGAGGCTATTAAAGTCTCCTCTCCCCCAGCCCAAAGAGTGTTTCCCAGATGTAATATTTTATCACTCAAAATCTGTCACATGGCAATGTGTTCCTGGGATAACTGTGGATTGTACCAAGACACCCACTGTGAATGAAATCTGTAAACATGCAACAGCAACTTTCTATTTAAAGGGGACCTGAAGACCTATGTAGCCCTGGCTGCAAAACACAAGTTGTTAGTTCAAATATCAGTGCTGACTGGCTCAGCAGCAATACCACTCACTGGGAGATTTGGCTTAAGCATCCCTGAGCTGAGCAGAACAAACAGTCATCTCAGGTTAAAAAAAAATTTAAAGAAAATAAATTTAAAAAAATCTCTGTTCCAGCCCCAGACAAGCTCTGTTCACTCTGTGCAGCCAGAGCTTCCCTTGAGTGTCTTTTACAGAGAACAGAATTGGAAGAGGTAGCCAAGCCCATGCACTCTGTGTACCATTGCTCATGCCAAAAAAATTATCTTAATTTTCTTGAAGAAAGTCATTCTTGAACAGTACCTGCAAGCCAATAGCAAAGCTGCTATTTAAATATTAGCCACCTCTTGAATGCATTCTCATTTAAAAAGTAAACCCAGAACTGATTTAGAGTGTTGGACTTGAGTTTGCAAAGGGTTAACATGGGACAGACTATGCCGTTAGTAATGCAATCCTCCATGAGGTGGGTCAGAGGTGTCTGCCAAGGGAACAGACTGGGATAGTTAGCATACTTACATGTTTGGATGAGGTGGGCTGAACTCGTGCTTCTACTAGCAATTGGGCAGCATTAGACTTGTGCCTGAAAAGGCAATTGAAGAATGATCAAATCAATTTCTGAATACATTCTGCATTGTTAAATTGATCCTTCTTGCCTGAATAAATAATTGGCTCTGTGCAAATGGTAGGGTAGGTTGCAACACAGAAAGTGGAAATGTGTCCTGTGTGAAGAAGCTCCTTCATACAGTGAGCTGAGCTCTCATCAACAAACCTTTCTATGAGAATTTCTTCAGAAACAGGAATAATAGTTCCCCTGGTAATGGATTAACATTTCCCTCATACTTCTTGATGAATATTTTTCTACATCTCCCTCCCCCTGAAAAACTATTTTTGAAGCTAAGATTTTCTACCAGCACTCCTAGAGCCACTGTCCACAGTAACACACTCCAGTGAGGCTCCCGTTTGTCTCCTGCTCCTTTGTAAATTCAAGCTATCCTGGTTAAACCTAACTAGATAACAGACTGGAGTTAAGGTGAAGTGTTTACCCTGTGACAGATAACTGCCCCTTAGGCATACGAAGCTATCAGCAGCCTTAGAATTAAACACATTTTGCTGTTTGTGATTTCTCTTGCAGAGGAATGTTTGTATCTCAATGAATTCAGAAATAGCAGCATCACTGTTGTGACAGTGCTCCAAGTCCTCTCTCTCCCCTAGCGCTTCCTAGTTGTACTAGTGACTTTCATTTGAAAATGTCACTTTGTACCAAGCAGAGAGAACAACTTTGCCAAGTTGTAGCTTTAGAATTAACCCCTTCCCCTAGCTACGTCCTGTTTAAATCTCATTAGTTAACCCGCAGGATCACCCTGAGCGGCTATCCAGGAATCTCACTCTTAAGCTTTCACAGGATACATGGTAACCAACGAGGCAGTTACCAAAGATGTTGCAACAACATCCATACACAAGATGCATTTTCCATATGTTCTGTGAATGAAGTTGCTGGCTACAGGGCCAAAAATGGCATGGCAGAATGAGTCAGGCTGGTGTGCTCTCTATTTTCAGACAATGTTCAGTCCTGAGCCAGTATTTTCTGGAGGGGCTGCCAGGCAGCAGCGCCTCCCAATACACTTCCTGTGTATGTTCAGGCAGAGTCCAAACTCTCCTTTCGAAATCAGTTGGAGGACTTTGTTAAAGTGACACTGACCAAGCATCAAGGGGGCTATACTTCTCAGTTTTCTCACACCATCTTCTCATGCTCTCCAAAAGCTAGTCAGCTTGGGAAAAAACATCTCTTATGTCAGCAGGAGCAAAATCTTCAATTGAATGTACTACTGAAGACTACATCAGCATAGATTCAGTGGCCCTTTATGACTTATGGCTCCTATGTTCAAAACAGAACATACGTTATCTTTATATTTGTTAAAACAAATAAATATAGATACAGCACTCTCAGTCTGTCATCTCAACATTTTAATGCATCTACAGGGTTCCTAGCGTAACAATAATTCACCACCACTACCCTCTCCCTGTACATGAATTTCTTACAGGCAATGCAGCTTCAACAAAACAGTGGTTTTCCTCTGCTCCCTGGCATGGACTGTGTGTCCTGTTTCAGGTCCAAAGACACTTGTCAAAAAGACACCTATGGAGCATTTCTGCAAAGGCAGTGGGAACAGCACTGACCACAGAAGAGATAAAACTATTTACACTTACCTTTCCAAAATCTCTGAGATTTGCCAGTGGAAACTAACTAATACTAGCTTTGCAACAGCATGTGATACCTAGGTGGAAAATAAAAGGAAAAAAGGTCAAGTTTGGCATATTTTGAAGCCACACTTTTGCTTAGGACTGACTATGATTTTCATGTAAGACCAAGTTGTACAAACTCTGTACAATATCCCAGTGACACTCCGTTCACATTAAATTGCTAAACACAATGCTCACAGGTGGTGCATCCGCAATATGAAGGTTGGAATGAAGCACAGATGTACCCAAACTAACTCATATAGTTAGTTACAATAGTGCAGAGAGGAAGGAATCGAGAATTCACTGGAATAGCTTAACTACTCATGAAGATTCACATCCAAACCAGTCCTGACTGTGGTTGCCATTTGGGGAGCCCAGATCAGACTGGGATCAGAGTCCTCATTAAATGTGCAAAATAGGAATCCCAGGGCAGACAGATACCACTTACTGAGCTAGAGAAGCAGTAACAGGCTGCAAACACAGGTATGTTGTAACAGCAAAGGGTATTGGGAAAACACATTTTCCCAACCCTTCACTGTAGAGAAGAAAGCTACACACTAGACTGGAATAGGAAGATAGAAAGCTACTGTGACAGGGGCTGTTTCCATGCAGAGCTGCTTGCATTACGTGGACTCTTGGCAAGCACTAGCGCAATCCGTACTAGCCCGAGCACCCTCTAGAATACTGCAACATGACATTTAAAGTCATGCTACAAGGGTACAAGCAAACAAGTTCTCCTTTGCTTCTATGTATTAGTTCATTTCAGAAGAAAACAGACTTGTCTGCTAGCACAAAAAGGCTTGTACCCACAAGACCAGACACCTGCTGAGCTGCTGGGCCTTCAACCTGCTTCTCGACCCCTTCATGGCTTTGTCAGGTCCTGGAGTTCAAACGAAGCAGGTGGCAGGTGTCCTGCAAACCACGCACCTCTGCCAGGGGAATTCAGAAGGCTCATAACCCCTGCCTCCTCACTCTGCTTTGTGCTAGGAAGCAGCTGGGCAAGTTCAGTATCTGTACACTCTGCATTCAAACACCCTCTGACATTAAAGTGCCTCCTGCACTCCAAGACAAACTATCACCAAGGCACCTCTCTACTATGCACACAGATAACACAACTCCTCTGTTCTAGCTGCAGGAAGAGTTGTTTTGGATTTTTTCTTCCCCTAGAGAAGCTGTCAGTCCCAATCATCAGCTGAAATGCCATAAGCTATCTTGAATCCTGCTACAGGTGAATCACAGGTGAATGTACGTGTAACAGACACACAGCAACACCAACACAATCCTAGAAGGAAAACCAAGCAATGGTCACTCATTTGAGAAAACAGTCAGGCTCTGCACACCTAGGGGCAGCACATTTATTACTCTTCTAAGTCTTCCCTGCTGAAGAGGTGTAGTTTCACAACACAACTGACCTATTGCTGCCACATGATACTGCCCTGGTCCTGCACTGGCATTTGTCAGTGCTGGACAGTTGGTTCAGTGAGCTAAACCAGTGCAGCACCAACACATGATGCAGATGAGGTGTTTAATTTACTCTTACACATCTCTACGTTCTGACGTGCCCACTTTGCTGGCCACTAAGGAGTCCCAGTAACAAAAGAGTAATTTTCAATGTACACATTTTTCTAAAAGAGCTGAAGCATTAGCTCATGCTCTGCAAGATCTGGCATGTCACCTTCTTCAACTTCACCAGCGATGTGATGTGACCCTCTGAAAACAAAGGCTCCCAGGCAGAGCTGTCCTCCCTCCCTGCAGGGAAGGCTGTGATTAGATGGAGTGTGGCACACAGAGCTGCTGCTGCTGCCAACACACACAGTCTGCACGGATGAAGTGCCACTGCCAGCCTGGGATGGTTGTTATCCTAAGCCCCCAGCCTGGCAGACCCAGACAGACACCTCAGACTTGTTTGTACAAGGAAAACATCTGCATTTGAGTCTGTAAAACAAACAGGCATCAGGAATGTGGTCTCTACAAGACTGGCTTCCTACAAATGCAAACCACATGCTAATGAATCATTCTCCAACAGCAATGAAACTATTTCTCAGTAGCAGTAAGGAAGAACTACCATTCTGACAAAAGAAAACAAACTGCTGGACTTAAATGGGAAGCTGATCTGTAACATATGAAAATGAGTGTTTTTCAGTCAGATTTTCACAGCCTGAGGTATAGCATCTGTTGCAACATCATGATTCCATGAAGTTACTTGTTCCCTAAGGAGGAACCAAATACATTCAAAAATGAAGATACATAGAAACACAAATACCAGCACACACACTTCTGAAATCTAACAAACTATCCTAACACAATCAAATGCTTTTGAGCCAAATTACTTGTCAGGTAAAATGTGAAATTAATGCTCCAGAAAGATGCTAGAATAACATATCTAGAAGAATAACTAAACTTTAGCTCCAATTGTAAGCACTGACTGGACCAGCTGAAGTGCTAATTTTATGCATCAAAAAACACACAAGAATATAACATTTTCAATTCATAAAGCCTGGTTCCTGACATGAGACCACTTTCATAAAAGCCCTGAAGCAGAGAAATTTTTGATACTACCTGACTGGAGTATATGTGATCTTGCAGGGAAGTCCAAGAGTCAGACAGTTGCAGCAACATATCCACAGTCTCCTTGGCATGGAAGTACTAGTTCTTACACAATAAAGATAGATAACATTCAAACTGTAAGAGGGATGGGAGAGGAGCAGACAAATGAGGTGACACTGGGGCTGTGCCCACTGAGTGGAGTCTCACCACGTTACATTCTATGTCCTGCTCACCAACTGCAAGGCTGGGAACTCAGAAGACAAACGTGAATACCATCGGGGCCAACAACACTGAAGAGATTCAAGAAAATAACCATGACAAGAAAAACAAGTGTTTAACAAAAGCCTGCTTCTATTGATTAGCAGTGCTCCCCAGCCCCTTCAGTGACTGTACATTCACAATGACTGAATGATTGTACCAAGTCAGCCAGTTCTTCCACAATAACACCCCAGAGTAGCTGAAGTATTCCTTTGTAAGCAGGAGCCAAAACATGCTGAGCACAGAAAAATACCACTGCAATCAGAAGTTTGGTCCATATGTACATAATTCATTACCTTACAGTAAGAAGCAGCAACACACAGAAGCTGATAGTGCTGCCACACTGTCCAATAAGGCATTTCTTGGACACTCAGAAGTTTCACACAATGAAAGATCTCAAACTTATAAAACATTTCAGAAAGAGCTCTGAGTCAGTCCCCTATCAGGTGCCACAGGAACCTCAGTCTATCCAGGAACAACAATGCTTTGCCTCAGACACAAAACAAGTTAAAAAATTATGCCTCTGGTAAATTGTCAACTTTGTTTAAACTTTCCTATTCTCAATTCAGAATGCTAAGAATCAAAAAAGGTAGTGAGATAGCCCACTTGGTGTCTTGTTGGCAGCAAGTCCTTTCAGTAAAACACTTCTACAGACCCCAGTGGAGAAGGGAATGAATATTCTATATGTTGCACTTCTATTTCAGTTTTTGCCTGCAATTGATCGATTGTGTCAATGCTTCTACCTAGCCTGGCCTCTTCAGAACTCCTCTGACTGCAATTAGATTTATTAAAGTTCAGAAGCTGAAAGCAGTAGTCATGCTAATTTTTTCCCCTCATTCTCATTTCCCCATCACTAGCTTAAAACTTTGAGATCAAAGATCAGCTCAGTCCAAGTATGAACCTGGAAAATCTCTGACTGAAGACCAAGCTTCTTTCTTCATGATGTGGCAGCAAAGCTGAACAGAGAGAATCTCATCCAATCTGCAATTCTCAGCTTCATTTTAAAACAGGAATTTGGTCACCTCGGAAGCCTCTTCTAAACCAGCTTAACTCTGACTCGCCAGCGACAGAGAGCTGCTGATTGCCAGAAATGGGCATCAAACACTCTGTTTATCAGCACACTGGGAAAGGGGAGCAGTGCCTATGCACACAGCAAGGGTGCCAAGAGGAAGCTGCTCTGCATAAGAGAAAGACTCTACAGGAGTTGTAAAAAAAACTCTGAAAATTTTACATAGTGCTGGACAAAGTTAGATTCTGAAAGCAGAACAAAGTAGTAATGTCTTGCGTTAAACACACATCTATTCACTGCCTGGAAGAGCACACAGTAATTTTTTTTCATTACTATTTCTAATCTCCATTTATCTCCTGGTTCTTTACACTTCAAGATAAGCAAAATTCTCACGCTTCTGAAATGTGAGAGGGAGTCTGGCACTCTTTAGGACAAGACAATATCAAAAGAATTTGCAAAGAATCTCTGCAGGTACCTTGCTGTGTTTAGAGAGCTCTAAAACAACTATGTCCCAACTTGCTTCCCTAGATAAGCCAAGCTGTTTGAAGAGCTGAACTTTCATCTCTCTACAGCAGAAAATCTTTCCAACCATGCCACTCTGACAGTTGCTAATTCAGACAGAAATGTTTCCTAAAAGCTAAAAAACCGCCACCTTTTGTAGAGCTTATATTCTACAGAAATTGCTCATGCATATTTATGTCCCATGCATATCTCATGAGTTCATTTCACTTTTCTCACAGGGATGGCCTATTTTTTGGAGGTGTGTTTCAATCCTCACTTTTGCAGAGATGTGGTCTCAGGAATTTAAAACAACGATCACCACATGATTCTCAAAGAGACTCAATTCAGAATGAGTTGAGAGGATAGGATCTGGCTGGAGCTGACATCCCATGGCTTTGCACCAAGCTGCCAATCCCTGTTAGATCAGAGCTGCACTGCAATGTCTGGCTGAGAGGAACATGAACCTGGCAAAAAAAATAAAATAAATGTGGCTTCCATTTCTTGTCTTTTCCCTAATCAAAGGTTTTTATACAAATAGATTTAAGCAAATAGGATTAGTCTTGAGAAGCATTTCTTTTAATCCATGAGTAGTTTTTGTTAGTTCTACAATGAAGGGATGAACTTCAAAAGATATTCGTTTGTGCATTGCACCAAAACCTCTAAAAACACATGAAAATTCTTTACAACAGTAAAGAGACACAGAGCAAAAACCTCTGAAAT